ATGTATGTTTTGTACGTTACCTGGACGGTTACAGGTTGTCGACCTGTTTCTGACGGGTGTATCTTGTGTTGAGGTGTTTATAAATCTATCTAAAGTTCTCAAACCCGTACCTGGACGGTTATAGGTTGTCGACCTGTTTCTGACGGGTGTATCTTGTGTTGAGGTATTTATAAATCTATCTAATGTTCTCAAAGCCGTACCTGGACGGTTATAGGTTGTCGACCTGTTTCTGACGGGTGTATCTTGTGTTGAGGTGTTTATAAATCTATCTAAAGTTCTCAAAGTCGTACCTGGACGGTTACAAGTTGTCAACCTGTTTCTGACGGGTGTATCTTGTGTTGAGGTGTTTATAAATCTAGCTAAAGTTCTTAAATCGTACCTGGTTGGTTACAGTTGGGCGGTCTGTTTCTGACGGATGTACCCTGTATGTGTTTCCCGTTATTGTCCACACACCAGCAATACCCTGAGGTCCGATGACATTGGATTTCCATATAGGAACCGTCTTCCTTGCATTGTGGAATGATCACCTTGCGGTTACCTTCCGAAGCTTGAGCTATCGCTAACCCTCGAACTTCGAAACAGTGAGGAGAATCTGTTGAGGGAAAAACACGCAGAACTGAACAAGATCATGAAATAATTGACATACACTTACAGATACGGCTATTCAAAGGCAAAATACACCCTAGTGATAAAATGTAGAAATAAATTAGCAGTGACAGGTCAATGTGGGGTGAAAAATAAACATTTCATTTAAACACACACACACACAAACATTACATAGAAACTTGGTCATGGTTTGTTTTTGTTAACAGGATGATGTACTGACGGCAGCGAAACGTCGACAAGGTTTTGTTTTATCAACATTTCGCTGTCTTCAATACACCATCTTGTTAACAATGAGCCAGGACCAAGTTTCTTTGTTAATGTGTGTGTGTGTTTAAAAAATTATTCCTATTTTAGCTTTTTTCTAAATAAGGAAAACTTTCTACTATGTATGACCAATAGTTTACAAACTTTGGTATAAGAAACTCCGAAAATCAATATAGCAACAATTAACACTATACAAGAATTTAGAAAATTTATAAACGTTAAAATTCGAGAATGTTTAATATTAAAACGGATGAATAAGTTAGTACTTGAAGTTTAAAGCATGGATATATTGCGAGTGAAGGATCACAGGTACCATCTTGACAGCCTTACTGTGCCACTTATGTCTAGCATCTCGATCTTGACACGTGACCTCTATGTTATTTATCCAATTCATCTCCGAAACCCAATAGGCTTCCAGAGTGTACACATACATTATATTATCTCTCAAGCATGAGCTCCTGAGGGTTCATGGTTCTTATAAAAAAGAAGATAAAAGCAACATTTTTTACACACAGTCTCGACCTGACCTCAAACTTTTGATCTTATAAGGCATCAAGTGGTTTCTAGCTTTATGACAAACTTAAGTTTAAAAAAAAACTGATTTAAGTTGTATCTTCTATATACCGGCTGTCTACAGTTCCACAAGAAACTATATAAGTTGTATCTTACTGAAATAAAGTTAAGCAGTGAGATGAATCCTGACGTGTATGGGAATAGTTGAATTACGAAATATGTTGAATTGTCTGCTTAATGGAATAAATAAATATATCATTAAAGAAGCGTTGTTACAGGACTAATGATGGTGTTGAAAATATATGCAGTAATATTTTTATAAATTTATTCTCTTGGAGCATATAACCTGTGAGCTGTCCTATCTCTGATTAGATAGAATGCAATGTGAATAATTAAAAACTGTGCCAAATATGATTACATATCAGGCTTAACCTGTTTTGTTTAGTGCAGATTCATGAGCAAACTACCGTAGTATTAGTAGTCGGGTCTATAATAAAAATATGCAGTGTGCATTATAAAAACATATATCAATTGCGAAGAAACCAATACAGCGAAAAGATCAATCATTTGTCTAACAGTAGAGGCTGCGACCTCTATCGACAAACAAATTCTTACCACGATCAAATGCCACACGAAAGCGATATTTATATTTTTCTTCACGTTCTTGTCCTAGGGTTTGTATATTGTAATTCCTTTTTTTCTTCATGTTAGTTGTTTATTCATTGAAAGGAAATTTAAAATAAGTACGTAAATAACCTTAAGTGGAAATTATATTTCATTTGATATTGTTTTGTTTGCTGTTAAGAACGAAGTTACACAGTGAGCCACCTTACGATGTGCCCAGCACAGGGGAGCGAGCCCCAAATTTTAGTGTTATAAGTTCTCAAGCTTACCCCTAAACCACCGACGGCTTTTATAACTGGAAATAAGTCTTCTAGTATGTCAGATTAAAAATAATTTCGATAAACTATGAAGGAAATTGAAATTAGGATTAAAGAAAATCTACAATTATAGAAATCAAAGATTTTAATAATCACAAAATTGTATCTGATTTTTAGTATACCCGAAAATGTTCCATTTATTGAAACATTTCAAACGCATGCATTTCAAGGAACTTTTTTCATTATTTCTTTCTTGTATATTTTTTTTCACAAAATTAAGGTTTTAATGGTTACTTCTCAATATAATTTTATCTTTCATTTACGATGTATCAAGACGAAAATGTATTGAGAAATAATATTTAAAATCTTTATTTTGTAAAAGCAAAAAAAGAAAAGAAAGAATATCCTAATACGTTAATAATGGCTGGAGACGGCTTAAATGGGTAATGAAGAAAAACTTTAATATAAGTTTAACATGACAGCAAATGTAAACGTTTCGACAAGGTTTTGTCATCATCAGGTGATCAGGTCATCTGATGATGACAAAACCTTGTCG